TTCGTTACGTACGTCGTACGTACGTACGTACGGTACGTACGTACGTACTACTTAACTTTAAACTTAACTAACTAAATAACTACTACTACTACACACTCTCTCTCTCTCTCTCTCTCTCTCTCTCTCTCTCTCTCTCTGAAAAGAATAAACACAAGGACACGGTTTCTATGAGTTTATGTAGAAATGAGTCCCCTCTTAAAATTCTATTTTTTAGATGGATTTTTGGACTTTATTTTTACTGTTAAGGACATGGAATCTTCAACATAGAGATCATGAATATGAAAAAATAAATAAATTTTTAAAATTAGAAATAATAATTCTAGTAATAAAATATTTGGACTGTTAGTTTCAATAGTTTTTAGATGGACCACCTATATTTTCATGTTAGTGTGAATTGTTTTTAGATGGACCACTTATTTTCATCCATTTTTAAGATGGATGCTTTATACCTCGGGGACCGCAAATGTAGAAATGCGGTCCCCCGCCACATGAAACAATTTTTTTAACAAAAAGTTGCACAACACTCTGCTCAACCATTCTTGAAGGTAAATTACCTCAACCACATAAGTTCAACTGGTTTCAGCTTAAATCCACATCTTATGAATGATACTTTGGTAACCGTTGCTTGGGCCCTCCTCGTTGACTAGCGCTTTGATAATAGCCATTATTGCTTCGTGGAGTAGAAGAATATGGCCTGTTTACTGTGAGAGTATCATAGCTGCCGTGCCCCTGCAAATGCGAAACAAGGGGCCCACGCCTCTCTCCAGGCACAGTAGAAGAAGAATGTCTTGGCGAATTCACATTCCATGATGCGTCCCTCTGCAAATGCAAATTTGAAGATGAGGCCCTCTGTAAATGTACAATTGGTGAGGGCGCCCTCTGTGAATGCAAATTTGAAGGTCCCCTGTGTAAATGCAAAGTGGAAGAGGGTCTCTGCTGTAAATGCACAGTTGAAGAGGATGGTTCCATTCGTGAAGCATAGCCTGCATGCACTTGAGGTTGCCTGCTATTTAGATTGAGAAGACGCTCGAATTCATTGTGCATGTCATCGGCCCTCCTTTCAGGTGCACCCAACCCCATCAATGTTGCAGTTTCAGGCCTAATGAGCAGCTTCGCCAATGAAGTTCTGGAAGAACAGATTTTTCGGAATGGAGAGCGGAGGTCTCCACGTGTGTTGTTAAATGCATCGGATATCCTCAACAGCTCAAATGCTCTCACTGACCTTGCACAATTTGTGGGTTGCTCGAAGGGGTCTTCAATCTAAGAAAACTCAGGAGTTCATAGATAATGTCATTACATGTGAGAGAAGAAAGTAGTTGTTTGTGCTAAGAGAGAAACAGAGGGAGAGACGTACTACTAAAGGGTAGCTTTTCTTTGTCCAATCTCTCTTGGAGTACAAGTTTTCCCAACGTCCAGTGAAAGTGCAAATTGCTTGTTGTGATGACCGGGTTCCAATATCAGTGAACTGTAGGCCAAGCGTTCAAGTTGTTGCGAAAAATGAGCAGAAGTCAAATACAAAAATATTGAGTATGGGATTCTCTAGGCTACCTAAGTTACTTATATTCTTCTTCATGCCTGCACCCATATGTGGATTTTCATGCGTTCAAATACACATGTAAGAATGGAACCTTCTAAAAATAAGAAACAAAAGATTCAGATATGTGTAATGCAAAATCATCACAATTCATTACTATCCACATCGCATATTTAAGCCCTGTTTGGATGTTACTCAATCATATCAAAGAAATAGCCTTGCCTACCTTTAACAGCAATCCCAAAGAAACCATATTTGGTTTTTTAGGAACAGAGGAAAAAATCATGGTTTTTTCTTTTTAGTCTTACCGAAGTTTCCTCAATGTTTTGCAGCTAACCGAAATTTGCATCCCCTTTAAATAGTTTGGCAGATCAACCTGTGACTTATGACTCTTAAATTGGGAGATGAAAAAGGCACTGTCCCTAATTGATGAACAATTCCTAAAATTCATGCATCTAAACTTCCAATCAGAACCTAGATTTTAGAATACAAGGAGGAAATGAACCATAGGGAAGGAGACAATCCCTAATGTAAATAAGCTATGACAGAGCCTTCAAATTAAAAATGAAGGTGACTCTTTCTAGCATGTGTGGGAAGTCTTTTTTCTACAAATTGCCAGAGACTAGGTGCGATACATGGGCTTCCCAGTAGGTCAACATCCATGCAGTGCATGGTCACTTACTACGGAGTTCTAATTGCATCCGGTGAACCAGAACTTGTTTAAATTCATTGAGTCGTATAAGAACTTTTCACCATACCAATATCAAGAACTTTTTCTAGTTTTTCCAAAGCAATTGATACATTATTCAATATTGAATTTATTTACCTTCCTGAAATAGGTATACATTGAATCATAAGGGAGAACTTGATCTTTGATACACTAAACACAAACAAGGGCGTTATAATCCTACATAGGAGATGGCTACAGCAGTAACAAAGAAGATATACTGCTTGGGCATTTTTCCTCCTTATTAAGCGAATGGATTGATACCAAGGAAAAGGCACAAGTATGAACTCTAAAGAACGACAAAATTGTTCAGATGAGACAAATTTTACCAAGCAAACCAAAAAGCCAGACCCAATGGTTTTTATTCAAAAAAAGAAAAAAAGAAAAAAAGAAAAGAAAAAGAGGACCCAATGGTTATAAGTCCTAGAATATGAGAAAAGAGAGTTCTATAAGCATTACTTTCATAGCCCCATACAGAAAAACCAAAATCTACTTTTTCATCATCAGACTTGAAATGACAAACTATCTAAATTTGTATGATACTTCATCCACCGTAAGTTAGTAAACCTAAGTTTCCTACATATACAGAATGAGAACAACTATGGTGATAAGGAGCAGAGACAAATTGAACATTTCCTGAAATTGAAGATGGAGTTATGCATATATCCCATGTAACACATTGCTACACAAATAAAATAGAAAATGCTTTTATGCATTTTTCTACAGTAAAACGCTAACATTCTCAGTCAGGAAAAGGCTTTGATGATGATGCTGATGGTGAAAGCGCTAATATTCTTGATCGGACAGTCGAGAGTGTATCAGTGTTTTGACTTTTGTTTTTTTTTCTATCAATTGGTTTAAACTGAAACATTAGGCGTCCACACTTCCAACAAAGGAAACCTTGTTAAAAATATAGATAGGATATTTCAAATAAAATAAAATAATTAAAATACCCCTGAAACTTGCAGGAGTATTTTAGTCATTTTAGATTACTGGAAATATTGTTGTTTTATTTTTAATTGGAGTACCATTGTTGGAAATGTGGATGCCCAAATTCTCAACTTGATTGGATTTGTAAATAAAAAATAAAATTCAAATAGTGGATGCACTCTCAAACTCCTAATCAAGATCGGACGTTTGATATTGATCACTCCGTAAGGGCCGTAACCCGGTGCTTGTCCCACCTACGCAGGGTCCCGGGAAGGGTGAGCTGGAAACGGTCCTAACCTTTGGCTTTTTATGCATAAAGTGGCTTCTCTCAAGACTTGAATCCGAGCTCTTGCACTGGCTACCTAAGCCTTTTACTGTCACACCAAGTGACGGCCACTTTGATATTGATCACTCCATTGTAGGTAAATGCTAAAAGTGTTTTTTTGGTTTTTCTGAGCGTGCATGTGTCTCATGTATAAACATAAACCATATATTTTTATATCTTCACCTGAAGTGCCCCAAATTAAGCACCCCCATCTGTAGAACCCCTTGCTTTTGGATTTTGCTATTGGAAGCACTCGCTTGGGACTGAGGTGTGGCTCCTAGCAAGTGCCTTGTTTTCCTACATAAGGCAACTTGAGGGTACAATGGGTCTGGCTCGCTTGTTAAGTCATCTTCTGTCCAAGTTGCACTAGTTTGTTTAGTTAATTGAGTTTTAGCAACCAAATCCTTTTTTTGTACGTGCACATATTCAAAGATTTCACTCTTCTTCAACACTTTGCCAATCTAACTACTATAAATCTGAAACCAATTCAAAACCTTCTTTAAGGTTGCAATGGTTCAAAAAAACGAAAAAGAAAACCTTCTTTAAGGTTGTATGGGACTGCTTAACGCTAACTTAACAGCCAACCACAATTCTAACACACTTTAAAATGTCCCTCCCATTAGGAATCCTAAAAATCAACTCCTAGAATAGAAAGAGCACCTTTCTCCACTAGAGAATACTAAAAAAAGCACCAACCACTAAATTACAAACTACAGTCAAATCTAAGCTTCTACACAAGTGAAAAAGAATCAGTCTTTGTATTTACAAATAATTTAATCCTGGAACTTCTATAAAGGAAAATTATAAAAAATATAATTTAATAGACCATGATGCCTTCACAGTTCCAAGACTACCATGAAGGCTATTTTTGTCTACTCACCCAAAAAAGGGGTATGGATGAGGTTGTGGAAAGTTTGGGGTTTATTTCTAACAATCCAAAAATTAAGGTATATTTTTGATAATTTTCCTAAAATTATCAAAACACACCTCTATATGCATATAAATTAAGGAGCACTTTTCCTTCCAGGCCCCATCTATCAAGGAATATAAATACCTTTCCAGGGCCCAAAAAATTGAGAACCAAACTACTTTCAAGGGAACAAATATATAAGAGGAGCTGAAACATAAATCTTAGTAGTGAGGAATTTTACCTTCTCAAAGAAGGACACAAAAAGTTCAGCTAGTGAACTTTTGTTTGCTTGGTTGAAGCCTTGTGCCCTTAGCCGATCTATCTTTTCATTGCAACTATGCTCTATATCTCTCTTATATGCACTTCCAACTCCTATGCAAGAAAAACCACAGGAATAATTTGCAGAAGACATTATTAAAAAGCTAACCATAAAGAAAGTTGCAATGTAATACACAATGCATAAACTTCAGAAAGTATACCCTATTTGACAATCCAAGAGGCATTCCCTCATTCCGGATGATAGACAGTAGCAATGGGCCCAAGGGTACACTGCCTCATATATAATCTCCACAGCCTATCATCTGGACCACACACAGATGATCCCCCTTGGAGTACTGTGCCATACCCCAATGGATCATGTATACTATCCCAATAAACAATTTAGAGGTTCACAAAAATCATTTGACATACAACTTAACAGGCATCCACCAGCTTGTTGATCGAAGAGGCACTCACCTTTAAGATCTTCCACCATATTTCCCCCATAGATGTCCCTCAATGGAGGTAATATAGAAGGGCTGCATGTCTGAAAAGGTCAATTTTGAATGTCAAACCAAGACTTTCTGGGGAACAAATTATAAGGATTGCATGTACATAAATCTAGATCTAAAAGGTAAAAAAGAAAAGAAGGCGCCAATCCAAAAGTAGGAAAAGAATGCATCAAATAAGCACCAATCTAGAAGCAGGAAATGAATGCATGAAGTATATATTGTCCTATTAACCAAATTTTGAATAAGATTAGATGAAGACTATCAAAATAAAAGCCATAATCACCTGCAAATGAAATATGACCATCAAACAGAGCGCATATGAGTTCAAACTTCCATTTTTTGGATCATTGATTTTATGTGCTTTTGCCCATTCTTTGACCTACACAAGAAAACAAAATGAACCAGTACATTTGTATTCCTTTATGCAAGATGTGCCAAAAAAGCCAACAACCAAATGAACCAGAAGAATTTTGTCCATGTATATATATATATATATATATATATATATATATTTTTTTTCCAATATAATCATCATCATCATCATAATGGCCTTTTCCCAATTAATTGAGGTTGGCTACATAAATCCTGGTCTGTCATTTTGCTCCATTAAGGGTCATACCCTCAGTGAGGCCATAAGTCCCAATATCTTTTCTTACTACTTCCAACCATGTCCTTTTGGGTCTACCTCTTGCCCTTTTAAGCCTTCCACTTGAACTAACTTGCACCTCATAACAGGTGTTGTACTGGGTCTGGGTCTGTGCCTACCCCTTACCCTTTTAAGCCTGTCACTTGAACTAACTTCCATTCTTTGGATCATTGATTTTATGTACTTTTGCCCTTTCTTTGACTTACACAAGAAAACAAAATGAACTCGTTCAATGTGTATTCCTTTATGCAAGATGTGCCAACAAAGCTAATAACCAAATGAACCAGAAGATTTTTGCTCATGGTAGAGTTTTTTTTCAATATAAGTATCATCATCATAGCCTTTTCCCAATTTATTGGGGTTGGCTACACGAATCCTGGTCTGTCATTCTGCTCTATTAAGGGTCATATCCTCAGTGGGGCCATAAGTCTCCATATCTTTTTTGACTACTTCCAACCATGTCTTTTTGGGCATACCTCCTATCCTTTTAAGCCTTCCACTTGAACTATACCCGTGCCTCATAACAGGTGTTGTACTTAGGTCTGCGGCACACATGACCAACCTACCTAACTCTCTCTCATCTTATCGCCTATTGGTGCCACCCCAAATTTTCCTACATGAATTCTTTTCGAATTCTATACCTTCTTGTCTTGCCACTATCCATCTGAATATCCTCATCTCTGCTACACTCATTCTACGGGTATATTGTTTTTTGTCCACCCAATATTTCTCCCCATAGAGCAAAGTTGGTCTCACAGCTGTCCTATAGAACTTTGCCCTTCAACTTCATTGATATGTGACAATCGCATAAAATTCCGGTTGCACATCTCCACTTCGCCTACCCAACTCTAATTCTTTGTACGACATCTTCCTCAATCTTTCCATTTTTCTGGATTATCGACCCAAGATATCGAAAGTACGCCCTTTTTGACACTTCCTAGCTGTCAATCTTAACTATTTCCTCGTTTCTACTCCTATTATTACTAAGCTTGAATTCCATATACTCTGCTTTAGTCCGGCTAATTTCAAAACTTTTAGATTCTAGAGTATCCTTCCAAAGTTCTAACTTTATATTGACACTGTTTCGGGTCCCATGGATCAAAACTGTTATCTACAAACAATACACACCACAATACCTCATCTTATAGGTGCCTAATTATATCATCCATAACTAAGACAAAGAGGTACGGGCTCAATGCTGACCACTAATGTAGATCTATTATCACTGAAAACTCATTCATCTCTCTTATAGTTATTCATACACTAGTTCGTGCTCCATCATATATATTTTTCATCAAGTTGATGTAGTGTCCAGAGATTCCTTTCTTTTCCAATACCCACCAAATCAAATCTCGAGGTACTATCATAAGCTTTCTCTAGTTCAATAAAGACCATGTGGATATCTTTTCCTTTCACTCTAAACTTCTCAATCAGTTGCCTAATTAGGAGAATAGCCTCGGTTGTTGACCTCTTTGGCTTAAACCAAATTGGTTTTCAAATACACTCGTTTCATGCTTTAGTTATTGCTTAATCACTCTCTCTTAAAGCTTCATAGTATGACTCATATGCTTGATCCCTCAATAGTTCACACAATTCTGTATATCTCATTTATTCTTGTAAATAGATATCACAATATTTTCCTTCCATTCGTCTGGTATTTTCTTTGTTCTCAACATCTCGTTGAACAACTTTGTCAGTCAGTCAATGCCAATCTCCCCCATGCACTTCCAAACCTCTATCGGGATACTATCTGGTCCTAAAGCCTTTCCTACCTTCATCCTATTCAAAGCTTCTTTCACTTTCAATATCTTAATCCTACGAATGTACCTATGACCTATGCTTTCATTTATACCAGTGGTTCCTTCTACCCTTATATTCTTATTGTGTTCGTCATTTAATAATTTTTTAGAATAAGCTCTCCACCTTTTGTTGACCTCTTCATCCTTCACCAAGACCCTTTGATCCTCACTCTTAATGCATTTAATATGGTCTAGATCCCTACAATTTTTCTTTCTCATTTTCGCTAATTTGAAGATATCTTTTCAACTTTTCTTATTTCCATATTATTGTATAGATTATCATTTGCCTGAAGTTTAGCCTTACTTAATATTTGTTTGGCATCTTTCTTAGCATTTTTATATTCTTCTAAGTTTTGATCGTTTCTATTACACTGCCAAGTTTTATAACATGATCATTTTTCGTCAATGGCCTTCTAAACCTCATCACTCCACCACCAAGTTTCCTTATTGAAATTTCTTTTCCTCCTAAAACTTCTTTTGCTACTTTCTTATCACTGTCAACCATGTCATTCCATATAACATGACCTCATGTTTAGAGTTCTATTTTCCTAATTTAACTAATTTATCCCTAAATAAGTCTATTTTCTCATTTTTTAAATTCCACCACCTATTTCTTAGATACCCATTACTTTCACCCCTTTTCTTCCATGTCTTTATCTAGACATCCATAACATGAGCCTGCATTGGCCAGTCAACTCTCTCCTGAAATAACCTTGCAGTTTTTACAAGATGGTCGATCTACCTTCTTAACTAGGAAGAAGTCTATCTGGCTTTTATGTGATCTACTTTTATAGGTTACTAAATGTTCATCTTGCTTTTTAAAGTAAGTGTTTGCTATCGCTCGGTCGTAGGCTATAGCAAAATCTTGAATAGCCTCACCGATCTCATTTCTTTCCCCAAACCCATATCCCCCATGTACCCCTTCATATCCTCTATTATCCTCTACTTTTTTCAATATAATACATACCAATAAGACTATATCATGGAACCTTCCATCTATATGAGAGATCCACAGCAGAAATTTGGACTTCAAAAGTCCCTCACAATTGCCAACAGAAACATCACAAGAAATATGATGTCTATTGCTCTCAAAAATAAGAAGAGGGACCCTGGCTTGTGGAATGAACTGAATGTAATGCGCAACACCTGCAATCACATCATAGAAGTTTAAAAACTCAATAAATTTGAAAACCATATCACGTATATAAAAAAGCTCTAATATTTTAGACTTCAAAGATAATATGTCGACTGGTATCACACAATGTCATCAGATCCAAAAAGTAAAACTTCAGGTAAAAAGTGAATGTGTTGCATATCTTGACAAAAAAACTAGATAACAGTAGAACTTCCCAACATTGTTTTTGTTTCTTTTCAAGAAATCAACTGAATATGGAGATCATTAATAAGAAAATTATTAAGAAGGAATCCAGAAAATTAAAATTCCAGTGTGAGAATTATTCAGCAAAATTATATCAGTGTTGCATGAGCACAAGTATGAAAACTTGCACCTGTATGTTTTCCTGTATTGCGCATGAGAGAGAGTCATGCATCTCAAGGTTAAAATTGGAATTGAAGTATTGAAAATCAACGGTAGTCGTAAGGGTTAGCAAGCTTTAACAAGAAACAGGCGCAGGAAGAACATGGAATCATGGAAAGATGGACACCTGTAATCCAGACTGCAGGGAAGATAAACTTGCATATTTAAAAATACTGCTCATTTGAAAAACTGGATAAAAATAATGCAATTTATTAATGTGGCAAAAATGGCTATAAAATTCTGAATGAGCCATTTTGAATATCAATGAATACACAACACAGTGCTTCCACTAGTGTCACGATCTCTCAGTGCCCTTGACACACACACACACACATGGTGAGAGGCAAATTCTACAGCTAACAGTCTGGCAAGAGAAGGGGTAACCCTCCCCCCATCCTAGTGACCCAGCACATACCTCCTCCTTTTCCCTGAACTGCATACTTTTTGTAGTCCCATCCAAACACAATCTTGTAATGAAAATTTTTGTCATACCCTATACTTCATGTTCTTTAAGCTTAATCAAATTGTATAAGTTTACACTATTAGTACAAAGAATCTTTTATCAGCCCGGAAAAGGAACCAATTAAAGCTAAAATAATCAATAGGCTACCTGTCCGCTGAAGTACATCCCTTAATTGCTTCAAAACATTCAGCTTTTTTGATTTTGAAACATCTGAGACTGCCAACTCAATGGAAATATCCAAATCACCCCATCTGGAATACAGCTTGGATACATATGATCCAAATGGTTGGACAGAAGAACCTGCTTGAGTCGATAAAAGTCAAATGCCCACACCACCAAAAAAGGGATTTTTCTTCCAGATTTTTAATGACAAGAATTATTCAATTTCAACAGACTTGCAAATAGGGGCCTACATGAATCTAGAGTCAGCTTATTTACATGGCCATATCTAAGTATTTATTTGGCCCATCAAATTGACCATCAAGTATTAAACCTCCAATCATGACCCTCATGACCATCACAGGACTAACTCTTGCACAATGTGATCAAATTCACACGGATACAAGAACAAAGAAACATAACCTAGAAGCACTTATGTGCTTTAGGTATCCAAATCCTACTTCACAAAGTAATCCTACTCCACAAAGTCAAACACTCAAACTGCTACAAGGCAGACACACAAACTAAAATTAGAGCTAAACCCATATTAGAACAAAAAATAGAAGTGAGTATGCCAAATATACCTTTCAAACTTTGCAGACAAGTAAGGCTAGTTGCAATATCAGATATGACGTCAGCCCTTCTGATTTGATCATCCTCGTCTGGTGTGATAAGAGAAAGAAGGTCTTTCAAGAAAGATCCTAAAATGGCATAATCCCTCGGAAATGGATTGCGAGGATCCATCATACCTGCAAACACTGAAACTAGAAATATTCAGGATGGTCTTCAACAGATGCAGGTATTTTCATTTGAAATAAAACATACAGGGTTCTTCAGATTCACATGTTTGTAACTAAAATATTCTATAAGCATGCAAATATGAACAATGTCAAAAAACAAATTACAGTCTAATTTTAAATAAGTAATTAGCTCCAATATCCTAATAACATTAATGTTTAAACTAGGTAAAGTATATTATTGCTCAGCCAAATGCCTAAGGAGATAATAATTTATGAGGTTCTTTCATTCACCTTTTCTATGATTGGTAACAACAACAATAGTACCAGGTGATAGCAATGACCAAATTGAGGGGCAGAAGAAAAGAAACAAATAATCAACCAAAAGCTCTCGCAGTCACATGTACATCTAATTCTCCTTATAAGAAAAATCAGGAGGAAAATATTTATTATGTGCATTGCCAAGCCAGTTTAAAAGCGAAGGCATCAAACACTTGAGACAGATAAATGGGGCAAGTACAATGAGTTGCTTATACTAAGAGAGAGTATAATGAGCCCTTGGTCTCATTGTCATATATGATAGCACTCAAGCCCAATGTGTTTAGCGCAGCCATAGAGATACGAGATTGCAAGGCAAACCTGATGGCACTAATGTGTGTGTGGGTATTGAGAGGAAAAATGGATACGTCAAGTGATTTCACAATGAAGCAGACAAATTGAGATGTATATAGTGGGAAGAGAAGAGAAGAAAACAAAAACATCAAACTGGTGAGGCATCTAATCCAACAAAAAGGACTCTCCTACTATTTCCAGCATGTACTAGTGAATATGCTATGTCATTCACGATGTCACATGGGTATGGGTATGGCTATGGGTATGGGTATGGGTATGCGTATGGGTATAGTTATGGGTATGGGTGTTGGTGTTAGACAGCAGTAGAGTGATTTCATGCAATAGTTTCATAGTGATATAGTGAAACTGCTGAACCAATTTCCTGCAGTAATTTAGGTCCACCTTCCAGCCATCCAATCTTTGATCGGACGGTTGAGATTGCAGATTAGTATATATGTCATTATTATTATTTTAAATTCAGTTTGGGATGAAAGTTTGAGGGTATGTTCATCTCATTTAGGCCACCTAAAAATAAGAAAAAACATTCAACAAAATTGAAAACAATTATGAAATTTTTATGAGTATTTTGGTCATTTTATTTTAAATTGAATCATTTTATTTATACATATGTTTTTAGCTTTTTGTGGATGAAGAGTATAACACAAGTTTGAGCTAACTCTGATTTGCAGAAAAATAATTAAAATTTGAAAACTGGTACACACTCTTAGCATTTGATCAAGCTTAGAAGGCTGGGAGGTGAGATTAGCCCACTAGTTGATAGCTACACAATCTGGGCTGATCTGACGGTCACGTCCTCATTTCGTAATATAATTTTAATATTTTTTATAAAAATCTAGATCACATGAAATTTGAAGCGTTCATTCTTCTCATCAAGGCGCACTTGAAAAGTTTTAGGGGTATTTTGGTAAATTTATTTTTTACGAATTATTTTTTTGATATTTTAATAGATTCTCCTACTTTTAAAAAATATACACTTCAAATTTCAAGTGATTTGAATTTGTAGAAAAACAATTAAAATTCAAACACAAAATGCAATCGTGACCATTGATCAGCCCAGATTCAATTTGGGTCATTGGGCTTACAGTGTGGCTATTACCTAGTAAGTTAACAAGATCTTTTCTCATATATATGTCTAAATATATATATGGAAAACTCTTCCCAACGCCTATAGGAAAAAATGAACAGTGATTTCACCTACCCTCATCACCATCCAAACTTCATCGCATGGTCACAGTTGTCCGGTAGTGTTTCAATTTTCATTTTTTTTTCTACAAATCCAAATTACTTGAAATTTGGAGCATATGTACATTTTAGTGAGGCCACCTAATAAAAATATGAAAAAATAAATCGTAAAATATAAATTGACCAAAATACCCCCAAAAATTT